AGCAGCAGCAGCAGCAGCAGCAGCACCTGTAAGGTTTCATCCTCAAACAGCACGCCACTGTCTGTGAGCAGCAGCGGCAAGAAGCCCGTATCCATGCATTTGGCTGCAGCAACGTGGGGCATTGGACAAATCGAGTCTTCTGCTGCTGCTGATGCTGCTGCTGCTGCTGATGCTGCTGTTAACTCCGGCGACCCCATCGTCAGCCCGCGTTGCTGCAGCGCAGCAGCACCCCACACCTTCCAGCTACAGCACAAGCAAAAGCAACAGCAGCAGCAGCGACAGCAGCAGCAACAGCAAGAACAGCAGCAGCAGCAAGAGCAGCAGCTGCAGCAGCAGCAGCAGCAGCAGCAAATAGACCTACAGCCAACTGCCAGAAGGGGGCCTCCCCCGCAGCAATAGGTTCATCTACTGTGTCAGTCACAGATTCAACGCATGCACTACTGCTGCAGAGGTTGTCTGCAAGCCGCTGCTGCTGCTGCTGCTGCTGCTGTTGCTGCTGCTGCTGCCGCTGCAAAAGCTTTCCACTGCTGCGGCCCCCCCGAAGGCCTTCTCCCCCCAATACCATCGGCAGAGAACTTGCTGTGCTGCAGCGCCCTGGAGACAGCGACCGGTCTGCTGGTGCTGCTGCTGCTGCTGGCTGCTTGTGTCGTCCATCGCTGCGGCTCCCTCCCGTTGCTGGTGCTGCTGCTGCTGCTGCTGCTGCTTGTACAACGGCTGGAGTTGTATACAACAGCCGCTGCAGCCCCTGCAGCTCCTGCTGCAGCCGCCGCTGCTCTGCAGTACCGTTCAATATTGTCTCCTCGTGCAGCGCTATCGTTCTCTCAGCAACTGAAACAGCAGCAGCAGCAGCAGCAGCAGCAACAGAGACGCACACGTGAAAGAAATGAGGCAATACTGATTCGTAGTCGCAGCAGCTGCATGGGCTTTATGGGTTTGTCACGGCAGCAGCAGCAGCAGTAGCAGCAACATCGACCCATAAGGGTTTCTGGTTGCAGCAACAGCAGCAGCCTCAGCAGCAACCGCAGAAACAGCAGCAGCATCAGCAGCAAGCGCAGCAACAGCAGCNCAACAGCAGCAGCCTCAGCAGCAACCGCAGAAACAGCAGCAGCATCAGCAGCAAGCGCAGCAACAGCAGCATCAGGCAAGCCTCACTGTCTAGGTCATCAGCAAGCTTGGAGGCTCTTTCGCTTTCTTTGAGCCACATCTCCTTTGCGAGTTCTGCTGCTGAGGATCGCTGCTGCAGCAGCAGCTGCGTAGTTTTCAGTGTCTCCTCTGCTGCTTTTTCTGCTGCTCTGCTGGCCTTGAGGTCCTGCTGCAGCTGCTCCAGCTGCTGCTGCTTCTCCTCTAGCTGCTCCCGCAGACGCTCCAGCTGCTGCTCGCTAGCAGCAAGAGATGCTGCTGTACGTGCTGCTCCTGCCTCTGCTGCTGCGAGCTGCTGCTGCAGCTGCTGCCGCTGCCGCCGCAGCAGCTGCACCTCTGCATTCAATTCTGCTGCTGCTCCTTGCTGCTCCTCGCCTTTGCTGCTGTCCTCGGCTGCTGTCAGCAGAGCTTCATCACGCTCATCTTCCTGCTGTTTGAGTTCCTGCTGCTGCTCGTGCTGCAGCTCCTGCTGCTGTTCCTGCTGCAGCTGCTGCAGGCTGCTGTGGGCAGCAGCAACAGAACCCGCGTCCGAGCCGTCTCCCTCTGGCGAAGCATCCAGGAAGGAGACCTTCTGCAGCAGCAGCAGCAGCAGCAACAGCATCAGCAACAACAACAAAAAGCAATTACGCAAGTGCAGCAGCACATACACCGCAG